GTAAGGAGCGTTAAACAAGGTAATCCGGGCCGACAGCTGCTACCTGGACGTAGTGGTCGGGCTTTAATATCATACCGACCCAACGAGTTACACTGGCTAGAAAGCTTGGTCCCATGAGGTCCTGCCATGCCACAAATGTATGTTGGATAGTGGTAAGACGAAAAGCAGTTACCGTTGTAGTGTAAATTACTACACTATGATAAAGGTTTAAGAGCGAACTCGTACTGCTGGTAGCTGGATGGGCGTGGCGGCAGTAAGGCATTTTTCCTCTAGATGACCAGTAGTGCCATGCTGGTCCTGCCTTCCCAATGGGAAAAAGGATTAGAAAAGGTCGACCTCAAAAGAAGCACACTTCACAGTCTTCCGGTAGCGCTTGTATCGGTTCTCTCTGCCCGGCGATAGAACAACCAAAACCTCAAAGCAAAACCCCGCAAAAGGCTGTGTGCCACGAGCTCTACGGTCAAGCAAACATTTTTCTTTTACAGTCACTTTAAGAACAAATAGCCTTCTACTGTTAAGGCAGGCAGGAAGTGTGAACCATCTGCACGCTTCTATTAGTACACAAGACCCAATCGCACATAACCTATTCTCTTCAACTCTGTCTCCTTCTTTGTCTTCCCCTTCTGATGCTAGCATTAAATCTTTTACGCCTTACTCAACCTCTCACTCTGAAACCGTTGTCAACGATCGAACCCAACTATACCTTATTCCTAGTCTCCAAAGACTACACTATCGACTTCATCTAGCACTTCTCAACATCCGAACTCTATGGCAAATCGGACACTAAGCATAGCTCAAAAAAACTCTGTAATCTCTAACTAAGGATGTATGCTGCAACTCAGAGACATATATACAGGACCCAAGTGCGGTTATTAAATCAACCTCACCCGATCATAGTAGTAAATCTTGAAAATTCACCTTACGAGTACCCGGATACCAAGTGGATAGCTGTCGTGGACTCGCTGATGTGAAAATAAAACTGAACTGCAGAGCAGAAAATGAACTTTTCGACTGGATACCAATTTGTAATCTCTGCCTCCTCCTCATCATCATCACTATCAACATAGGACCAGGCATTACTGCATAACGGTTCAAGTTGCCAAATTAATTTCCGCATACGCACCCACTGACTGTAGTTCGGATAATGCAATGGATGAATTCGATGAGAAGCTGTCAGTTTCGCTACAGAAAGTAAAACTTTCAAATGCAATCATAATAGCAGGAGAATTTATCGTTCAAATAGGGAAGCTGAGCCGATCAGGAAGGCACCTTGAGGGTATCTACGAAATCCCGTGCCAACGAACCAACGGCGATGATCATTCGTTGCAATTTTGCTCCGACAATAACTTGTTTTTGGCCAGCACTAACTTTAGGCATAAGGAGAGACATTGTTTCATTTGGTACCAGACAATAGCGAACCAACAATGGACACACATAGGTCACATTGCTTCAGGCCGGTCACGTACGGCCTTTTTGATGCCACGACAACTGGCCTGTAGAACGGAAGATGGAGTCGGTCATACTTCCTGTGGTTTATGGATTACCATTAACCACCGACGACTGATCTAAGCCACCATAATACATCATTTAATTGTTTAAGAACATGTTAGGGGTAGATGCTTTTTGTCTAACCACTATCCAACAGATTTTCCTGGTATGTTAAAATCTCGAGGGAATAAGCGTTCCGCCAGCATATCTTGTTGGGTGATCTATAAGTCCGACCACTATGTCAGGGTAGCAGCTATAGATCGGCATTACCAGTTTGGACTCGGAGCAAGCATCAGTTAGGGCTTGTGTATGTCTGCGCCCTACTGGTCGCAGGAAATAGACGGTAGTAAGGGCTATCTATGCTCCATTGGAAGATGAAAACGTCAAGTCAGCATTTAGGAAAGAGGTAGCCAAGCATTAAACTGAATATGACAGCAATGCTCATCCTGAGGAAACCTGGCGTGACATTAGGTCTGCCGTAGCAACAGCGGCAAAGACATTTGGTAACCTACACCCGAAGGTTAATAAACCCCATCGGGTTTCCGCGACGTCATCTGAATTGACTGAGGTGAGAAGACTGATTCCAGCTGGTTCTGACCACGACGAAGAGCGAAAGCAACTTAAACTTAAACCCGTCGATCGCTAGCAGTGGTGGGTGGTGGAAGCGAGAAAGATGGAGAATGCATCAGGGCTGGGTAACACTCAGCAACTATTTAGGCTTATTAAGAATACCGGCAAGAAGAAGACGATGGTTAGTGAAATCATCACCGAACAGGATGGGACGCTAATAACCTCTCAGTACAGGCGGCTAGAACGTTGGGCAGAACATTTTAAAGCACAGTTAAACTGCCCTACAGCAACGCTTCAGTTGCCCAGCATGCAGCCTGAACCTGAAAAGGAAGTAGACATCAGTCCTTCAACTGTCCTTAAAGTTGAGAGGGCTGTGTCGAACCTGAAACGATGCGAAGCAGCAGCAAGACCTGATAGTTTGCCACCTGAAGTTTCCAAAGATGGAGGTGGGAAATCGCTGACAGGAGTGACGGAGATAATAGGTAGTGCATGGAAATCAGGGGGTAGTGCTGTCAGACTGGTGTGCTCCATTGATCATCCTGGTCTATGAGAAGAGACAGAAGTCTTCCTGCGACAACCTGATGGGAATTAGTTTAATAGTGTGTCCAAGATGCTAGGGTCCATGGTTGTCCGACGCCTAAATGCAACTACAGAACAGCAGACTCGAGAAAACGAAGCAGGTATCAATCAGACGTGGTTGAGGGTGGTGGATCTATCAGATTTTCACCCTTCGACAAGCTCTGGAACACAGGTATATCTAGCGGCCAGCGGCAGACACATGCAACACTCCTTGACCTAAAGGCGACATTTGACTCTGTCGACCGTGAAGTGTTTTTGCAGTCTAACTGTGAAAGGAGTACCGAGCAAGATAATGCGGATCTAAGCTCTCTACTCGAACTCACGCAACCACGTCAGAACTTATGGAGAGTTGTCATGTGAACTGACGACAACTATTGGTGTCCACCAGGGATTCTCACTGTCACCGTTCCTGCTTAACTTCGTCATGGACGTACTAATGGACATTACCTTATGAATTTGTGACTTCACAGTGATTGACATACTCCCTTGAGGTCATCTCGTTGACTTGGAGTATGCAGACAATATTGTCCTGCTAGCTGAAGACACTGACAAATTGCAGAGCATTCAGAATGCGTGGAGCAGAAATCTGAGTATACTTGTCTGGTATGCATTTCTCTGGCACCTGTCAAGTGGAAGATGATTTGCAAGTACTCTGAGGTGATAGATATGTATTGCAGCAGTGGAATGAATGCGTTAACCACTTCACTTACTAGAGGTGTTGCATCAGTTCGAACGGGTTAGATGCTGAAGAAATCTCAGATTGGATATAAAAGTCCCATTTGGCATTTGCCAACCTACATCACCTCTGGCGCCGGCTGGCGACATCTATTCGACGATCTATTGAAGGACGAGTATACTCCACTACAATCCGTTCTGTACTGTTGTACACATCAGGTGTGAAACATGGAGAATGAAAGTAGACGATGAGAAGCTATTACAGGATTTTGATGATGTATCTTCGCAGTTATTGTTCGTATGTAGTGGAATCACCGTGTGAACAATGTTGAGGTTGAGCGAAGGGTACTAGGCAAGACAGGCAAGTGGAGTGATGAGGTTGTGAACCTTAGTCGACTGAGAGGACTTGGATATGTACTGAGCATCCCCAGCCACCATTTACCTCGACGTGCGATGCTAGAAGAAGCTGGGTTAGATTGGAAAAGGACTCACGGTGGCGAGACCACGTGGGCTTTGCGGTCACGCACTGACCCTTCTTTACCAAGCACCGCATAAAGAAGTTGCTGAGAAGGGTCAACCGCACTTACAACCATCTGCACATAATTTCCCCCAAACAACAAAATCAGTTTCACAGCATTGCGTAATGGTGGAAGGAAAAACAACTCGACAGTTCGTAAGAGTTTGCGAAACTGCTTACAACTGTCGCGACAACATGCTAGACAGTCTCCCTTCAGCAGCTTAGTAGTGTGTCCAGTATCATTCTATTTACTTAAGTTAGCACAACAAACAAAGCAGTATCACTGTATGTTAAACAGTGTATGTAAATTATGGGCTGATAAGTAAAACTGTATATGATTGCTATGTACTATACAAGGACTTGCATTTTTAATCAGATATTTGGATCTTTCATATAACCACTGACCTTACTGTGAATCCCTTATTCTCAATTAATTGTAAACACTGACTATTCAAGAAGATAGATACAATACATAAGGTGAACTCAGCAAACTTGAACAGATTCGTGGGGTAGGCAATGCGTCACACTTGTTGTGTGAAGGTTAATGTTATCTAGCTGGTGGAGCGGTGTTCGAACCCGTGACCCATTGGTTGAAAGTCATCTCTCTACACCACTGTGGTTTAGCAATACCCAGTAAGTTGATAACAGAAGTACTCAACTAATGTAATGTATTGGTTTCAGATCAGATGAGAAGATCGTATATCTATTAGTTACCGTGGGATTTTAATGCTATAGTACACATGAGAAAGAATTTACAGCCGATTACGTAGTCACGAGGAAGTTTAAAATCTCTACCACTTAGATAGTTTTAAAACTTTGGACAATCTGCTTATTACTAATTTTGTACTGCATCGCATCCAACAAGGCCTCGGTCGAAATCGATTATCATTTCTTGCAGGGAATAAGTTACTTACTAATTGGTTATGAACAAAAATATGGGACAATCCTAGTTTCATTCATACATGAACATTAAACATCAACTAGAACCTTTGACGCAACTTTGGGGGCAAAATAATACTTAACTAATTTGGCTTTTTGAATCCTATACTCTATTTATATTTTTGTGATAACAAGTCGTAGGCCTATACGTATCAAACAAAGCGTTGATCAATCAAAAACTAATCAACAACTCAAGTTAAATATAAAAAAGTCAATGAAGAAGTTTACTTACCGTACAAGTAACAGCACATAGCATCCGTGCATGGTAAACTAGCGATAACCACATCTATTATTGGGATTATAGCTCGCAAACTGTTGTAGTAGGTAAAAAAGTGAATCACATGGGGTGCATCTTCACACACTTTGCGCAAGTAGACACCAAATGTAGGCAAAACCTCTGAAAAGGATTTAACTACAGAAAAAATTATAAATCCATATCTGCTACTGCAATATACCTATAGCAGTAACAGTTTGTCAAATGGAAAGAGCCAAAGCTAATAGATGATATGCAAATTAGTTGACACAAAGTACTGAGATTATACAATCCTGTTGGGTGAAGAAACTGACAAGATGAAGTGTCCACTGGACACCTAGAGAGATAATTCAACAATGCTCTAAGATATCTTGATGGATCGATGGCCGGTAAAAATCTCGTTACGGATACAAAATACTCGAATGCCTTTTGCTAGTCTACATCACTTATGGCACACCAAGAGTCGAGTGAACTACCCAGTGGTTTGTCTTTCCCAACAGTATGGTTCTGAAACACGACCATCAAAGCAGGATGACCTGAAGGGTCTCTGGTGTTCTACTATTGTTGCCATTGAAGAATTTTTTTGTGTACGAAATAAACTTCACGAAAGCACTGCAATTGTTCCGCGTAATCTTATGCTAAAAAAAAGTAGGTCAGTTGATGCGGTTGTACACCTACGTCAATGACAGTGACCAGTGTCAATGTTACGCATGCCCAATGGCCAACTACCCCAATACACTATGAGTTGAGTCAGTTCAGTAAATACCAATATGGGACCTAGTACTACTGCATAGCAACTTAAGTTGTAATATTACACATATGTACATTAAGCTATAAGGCGCCAAAATGTAAGATAGTGAAACAAATTAGCCAAACGTTGAAGAAAGTCATGAGAAGAGACCAACGATGAACGAGACTATTGAAATTCAGTATGACAAATAAGATGAAGATAATGTATGGATACACCTTTACCACTCACATTGACTCCGACTATCTAACCACCGATTTCGGTGGTCAAGCGTACTCCAACCTAGGAGTCTACATTCATTTACACGGTTTAGACTAACAGACAAAGATTTCACGTACTGATGCCACGTTTTAGTTTGATCGTTGATGTTGGCTGAAGTAGAGTTAGGTTATAAAAATGATGAGAGTTGTCAGACTAAAACGTAAAAAGAATCCACATTTCTTATTCCTGATAAGTCATGTAGAAAACTGCAGACTTCCTGGTTTGGATTTGCGTAACGATCGAAACTGATGGTTGGAGGGACTATATGACTTAGTATATAACTGACCTCAGTGACATAAATGCATCTACAACTTACCTTCATCCTTACTGTTATATTACTTTTCCCTGTTTATTTTTCCCTACCCTTTTCTTTTTATGATTTTCTGACAATGGAACATATTCATTTTCCCGTCATTTGTCTTGCGAATGTGAGATATGGGAATGCAAAATATCATATCCGAAGAAACCAACCAGCAAAATTTAATGTCTGCTGCATCCATAGAAATGAAAAGATTGATGAATAACTACAGTGACATTCAACTCTATTTCCAAGTCATAAGTTGGACTCCAAATAAATAGGATAGTAACTTGAGTTTCAAAATGTTGAACAATATCGTCTCATTTTGTGGCACTTGTGTGACCAAATTTTCTTCTCATGCACTTTTATCCCTCATTATTCCATTGCTTCACATCTGAATTAGCTGCCGATTGACATAACAAACTGCGATTCCAACCTATTAGGATTTGTAATCGAATATTCTTTGAAAGAACTCCTCCCTACAACTATCTCGTTTAAAGTCAATCAGAAAGCATGATGTTTTGACTCGTTGCCACATCTCATATCAGCACACCAAGGTAGAAGGCATTAAAATAAAAGATGGAGAGAGAATTCTACGCTGTTGTTAGTGAGGTTTGGTTTCTAAACTTTGTCTAACTTTAGCTTTTAAATCAAATGTATACACTGAATAGGAACATAAATTTCGATAGGTTGTAAGACATAAAAACAGGTTTGAAGATCTATTTTAAGCCATTAACAGTATTGATGACTCGGCCATGATCCCGGACTGTGGTAACTCTGTGTATTGAAAATTCAGTTACGCAATCGTCAGAGTCGACTTTTCCAGACCTGCGATTCTGGTTACGAGACGCTGTTTGTGGTTAGCTTAGAAACGGTTACGTACTTATTATTATTATTACTTGTCCCTTGGGTTCCTAGTGGAAAATAGGGCTTCAGTAGCACGTCACCATTTCACTCTGTACTCTGCAGTCTTTTCAACCTGGCACCACGACTGCCCACAAGCCTTCATTTCTTCCTCACACGATCTTTTCCATGTCTCCCTCGGACTCCCAAATTGTCGTTTCCCATTTGGGTTCCACTCGAGGGACAAGCCTGGCGCGTGAAGTCTCCAAACAGACTTCTCAGTGTAGGTCTAATCCAATCTAATTCATCTACACTTTCTTCTGCATATTTGTTGTTGGTTGGTATGTTGCCAAGCCAGAGTTCCGCGTTATTTATTCTTTCTGGCCATCGGATCTTCAAAATGGAGCGTAGGCAGCTGTTAATGTGATGCATATCTACAGTTTGTTCTAAATGCTTCTCGTAACGCGCCAAGTCTCTCAATCATCACACAGAAGCACTGACTTACTTGACTGAATTAGTGTTGAAAATCCGGATGTTGTTCATGCATTATGCTGACTGCAGTGCAGTGCAGTAGATCTCCACACTGATAATTTCAGATTAATGAAGGCCTACCTTGCTTTTCCGATCCTGGCTACTTTGACGTCATCTGTGCCGCTGCCTGCAGTTCAAACGATGCTACCTAGGTAGGTGAAAGGGACAACTTGCTTCAGATTTCTCCCGTTCATGGTGATTGGTGCTTCTTGTTGTTGTTGGTTCGGTATCTTCATCACCTCTGTCTTCTCTACGTTCACCTGATGGAAGTCCCGTCTCCCTCCTCTGCGTCGCCTCTTCTGTCAAATTGTTAGTTTTTCCCTGCAGATCTTCGAGTTTGTGTGACATTAGACATAAATCATCATCGGCGAAATCCAAATCTTTTAGGTTCTTTTCATCGATCCAGCCAGCGTATACCTCTCATCTCGCTCCTCACAGTTTGTTGCATAATCCAGTCCAGTCCAGTCGACCAAAATCAGGAAGATCATCGGTGATGGTAGGCAGCCATGTTTTACTCTCTTCTGTCTTCACCTCAAAGGTATCACTGAGCTTTCGATTGTGAAACACTTGGCATGTAGCATCATATGGCATATAGCTGTTGAGTGGGGTTGATAAATGTTTGTGGCACTAAAACCGTAGTGTTGAAGCAGCTGCCTGCCAACTTACTTCTAGGTCAACGCTGTCGAAGGCCTTTTCAGAGTCGATGAAGTTGAGGTAGAGAGTTAACTGGACATCCATTCTATGCTGTGTTCTATGATGATGCGTAGCGTAGCGTTGTAATTTGATCCTTACATGATTTGTTTTTGCTGAATCCAACCAGCCTGTTCCGGTCGTAATTTTGAATCCAGCGCATTGTTTAGTCGCCCCAAAATGATGCGGCTTAATATTTTGCTTGGGGTGGACAGGAGCATGATTCCTCACCAGTTCTTGCAAAGACTTTGGTCACTCTTCTTCGGGAGTTTGACAAGGTAGCCCTTCCACTCAACCGACAGGTACCTTTCTTTCCTTCCTTCCAAACCTTCTGCAATAGTGGTGTGAGCTGTCTCTGCGTTTGTCTTCAGTGCTTCTGACGGAATTCCATCTGGTCCTGCTGCTTTCCCAGATTTCAGTTTTATGGCGTTCAGGACTTCACTTCTGTTTATGTTAGAGGGCTTGTGCTCACTGGTGGTTCTGCGGTTGCTAGTGGTATTTCTAGACGGGTTGCAGGTGGTGGCGGTGGTTGATTCAAGAGTTTCTTGAAGTGGTCACCCTTTCGTTTCCTTTGTTTCTCCTCTTTGGTAACTAGATTTTTCTCACCATCTCTCACTGGCTTCATCTAAGCTGATCTCTTCCCTACAAGACAGCAATAACCTGGTTATTTGATATAGTGTTGTCAGGTCTCTGTCTCTCCTACCAGCAGCCTGTTCTGCTTCATTCGCCAATGTGTTGTAGAAGTGTCTTCTGTCTTTCCATGCACTCTTCTTCACTTCTTTGTCCAGTGTTTTATACGTTGTACTCAGTTCTTCTTTTCGTTGTGTATCCTTGCACTAGTTCATCTGCTTCACCATCTTCCTATCCCTGTTTTATCAGCTTCCATGTGTCCGTCGAGATCTATTCCTTGTCTTGTCCTGCATCTTCCTTCTTAACACGGCTATGCAGGTTTCCTTCCACATCTCTTTCAAAGAGTTCCAGTGTTCATCCACACAGGTTCCTTCAGGGATGTTGCTTAATGTCTCCCATTTTGTCGTGATGGCTGACTGACGTGAAAATGTCCTGTACAGTTTTGTCCTTCAGTTTCTGTTCTGGGTGTTGCACTTGAACTATGGTCTATCACCAACTTCTTTCAACGCTTTCAACTTGATTTGAAAGGTTCCTTGCGCCAGATAGCGAGTGGTGTGAACCTACACATGCTCCCCTTCTTCATCTGATCTTGTGTCCAGAAGGCAGCGTCTCCACTTTAGAGATTGAGATGAAGTCGATCTGATTTTTAGTGTGCCTGGTGTCTGGTGAATTCGAATCCATGTCACTTTGTGAATATCCTTGTGTTTGTACACAGTGCCTACAATCACCAAATCACTAAATGCGCAGAAGTCTTCAAACAGTTTTCCATTCTCGTTAATTTCACCGAGTGCTTCTAGACCTATGATAAGTTCTCTTCCTGTGTTGTCCGCCTCCAGTTCGGCATTCATGTCACCCCACTCATTAGAATTTTGATGTTCCCAACTGGAGTGGGGTCTTGTCCAGTACTGATTGCAGTTGTCTGTAGAATTCCTCCCTCTTCTCTTCATCTGCACTATTTGTAGGTGCGTAGCGTAGCATTGTATGATTGTGAATTTCGTTCCTTGAGTTGAATCTTGCTGTCATGATCCTACAGGAGGAGATTGGTTCCCACTGCATGAGAGCCTGCGATGCTCTTGCGGAAATCATGATAGCCACTCCAAAACTCAGTGTGCTCACAGTTGTCGTCTGGGTGAGAATATCGGAATAGATTATTGACCTTCCAGTTGACAGTTTGCAGAGTCCACTTCCTTTCTATCTGCAGGTTCCTCGCAGATTCCTAGCACTTCTATGCTATACCTTCTCAACTCTTTCGTAATCTGGGCAGCCTTACCACTCAGTTTTAAACATTGTTCAGACATTCCATGTCCCCACTCTTACTTTCGTTCTCATCGATTGAGGAGAAGACACATCGGGCAAATTGGCTTCACGAAGGCTTTCACCAACTGGCGTCATTTCGTCTCTCTGATTCCAGCGAGGAATAAGTTTTTTTAAATTTTTTTATATTTTCTTTGTGCTTTGAAGTTTCTTTAGCGGTTGGATTAGTTTTACAGGGTAGGGTTGCTAGTCCTATGCCCAACTTTCCCTCTTTATCCGGGCTTAGGACCGGCTAGTAACTAGTGAACTAGTTAACCAGGCGAGGTTGTTACGTACTGAAACAATCAGCAAACAAATTTTCAGGTTGAAACCCATTATTTGCATTTCCAATGATTTGGAAGCTGATATAATCCACCTAAATGTCAAAGATATTTTTGAAATGGTTGAACCTTTACGTTTTTGGATGGACTGTTAGAACTAAAAATGATGCTAAGGTCTACTAGCTATGAAATAGGAGAAGCTGCAGATTAAGTCGTGTTACAAAGAATCTAAGAAACCTACCGTATTTCACACTGGCGTAGCTATATCTATAACAGGCGTAACGCAACCCATCAAGTCAAAGAATTCAGTCATTTTATTCATTCACATTTCCTCGACTAATACACGGAAACCGATGGACTACAACATTCTTAGTTCAGCGGCTCTACTGTTAAATGCAGCGAGCTTTAGAAAACGCAGTATTTCTCTAATTTGTAGCTCAATAATTGAGAAGTAAAAAACTTTTATTTTTACTGCAATTTTTTGTGTACTCAAACAGGCAGAAGCAAAAATATTTATTCACGTCTCGTGAAACACCGGAATATGATCGAATTTGTGAAATTAAATACATAAGTGAAGTCCATTAGTGTTTCTGAACTTTACGTCTTAGGGAACGTCAACAAAATAACTTTGAACTACTCCTTCCTCGTTAGCATTTCTATTCGTGATATAAATTAAAGACTGCTGGGCACAGTTATGAATTTGAAGCCAATAACTATTGCCTGTAAATGCCGTACACAAACACATTAAAACAATAAAACCTTAAGTAAACAGATCATAACGTTCTGTTTAGTGAAGATGCTGTCTTCTGGACACATTGAGTGACAATCTGAGAATTTTTTGGATGCGTTCCGCACCAGCTAAATGCACACTGCTGCTTCAGAACCGATCTTCGTTCGTGCCTCGTTTAACAACGGGTAGTACACTGGTTGGGCTCACCGACCAATTCACTTACTCGGGGCATCAGACCAGTCCTAGTGGGCTGGTTAGTGACACACATAGAAGGCTTGCTTTGTCTTTACCAATTTACTTTATACATGATACCTCCTTGATAACTGAATTCGTACCAAAACCCGAGTGTACTGTGTTGCAGTTCAGTTTGTTTGAATATATGGCTGTGAAACATGGCTATTGAATGCAGATAACATGAGAATACTTCAGGCAGTCAACCACCGCCACCTTTGTAGAATAGACCGGGTGTTGCGGTGTCACACATCAATAACGTAGAACTTCAGGGAGAAGAGTCAGTTGATGAGGTTGTGAACCTTCATCGACACAAGTGGCTGAAACATGTGCAACGCATACATAATCACCGTCTGCCTCGTCGCAGAATGTTAGCTGAAATAAGTTGAGGGTGGAGATAGCAAGACTGAAACATGGTAACAGTGCATGAAGTCTTTGAATGTTGATCTGAGTCGTGTAGATGAATGTAGATCTTTTAATTGGGCTCGCGTGGAAGCCGAGGTCGGTGGCTGGAGACTTTAGGTGATGCTGGTTAGAAACGATGACTGATGCAAATGGTCCATGCTTTATCTTCATCTTAATCGTCATACCGCACTCCAATGGCTTTATTCCATTATGTTGTTTTCGCCATTTTTTACAACTCATGACAGCCTTCTTGATCTTCTTAGATATGCCGATGAGTGGCAACTTAGACCTTTACACAATAATGTGAAGTCCTACATCGACGCTGACTGACTATTAGTGAGACAGTTGATTTTACGGTGAAATAAAACACTAAAAACCTTCACTGAGAGTCACATGTCATGATGAAGCAAAATACAATTAGATGATTTATGAACAATAAGTGTCCGCCACTTCAGTGTGAATACAAGTACAGCAGTCTGGTAGGTACTTAACATGCCAACACTACGTCACGGATTCTAAATCACTCTGCTTTCGCCTCCATAACCACGCCTCTGTAAACTATGTATGAACAGTGCATAAACGGTGGGCTACAATTTAAACATGGATGGTGTCTTTTTATCTACTTTTCTTTTTAAATACTGGCAGGTGGTTATGCATTCATAGCTTTTATCTGAGAAATTCTATGCACTACCTTTTGACAAAGCAACGACATTAGCGTCCAACCTAATATTAGGATGCTAGTGGGAAGGAAACGATGCGAATAATTACTCCGCATTATCAATAAGCAAATAGATTCACAACTTAATCATTGATGACCATGTATTAATAAGGTGTTGGCGTGGATAAATTTTAAGACCGAGGGTTTATATAAAAAATGTAAACACAAAGGGCCAGAAAATGATTACTCACCTAAAGCGGACACACCATTTACATTAGAAGAAAACGTATAAAGTAGACGATGAATGATTTCTACTTCACTGCCATGCAACCATCTGTACAAATATAGTTATTTGAAGAAAAAATTACTTCATCTGGTGTTGCGCTATTAGGATGGCTTGAGTAATTGTTCTCCACACCAAACCTCAGCTAAGCTGTCATCCTCCCGCGTGATGACGTCAATAAGACGAACGGCACCTATTAAGAGACTAGCTACCATAGGAATGATGAGTTTATCAAAACTATACCATTCGTTGAGCTTTTAAGGATGAAAAGAATGTTCTCAAGGAATTCTGGCTGGAAACGTATCTCGTCAAACCACGATGTTTTATATTCATCTGAGGCAAGCACGGTTTGTATCAATCTTGAGAATATAACATAAACAATGTATAAACTAACCTGCATGTTTCAACAAGTGTCGGTGTGTCTCTTGAGTAAAGCAAACCAGTCACTCGTATGCTTGACTAAATAAGTTCTCAAACAAAAAGAAAACATACATAAATGATTCACTTTCACTCATCCTACGACACGCAAGTGGGTCGTAAGCTAGATTTGCGAGTATCCCCACGATAATTTCCTTCATATAAATTGAATATACACACAAACGTTATTTCTCACCAGTAGCCTGGGGTTTGAACATTCCCCAGAGCATTATTAAATATTGAAACAATTTCGAACTCATCAAGGAATTTTAGCACATCCGATTGACCGTTAGGTCCCATAAACAGCACAACTGTTCCTCCAGCTCAGTATCCAGCTGTTTACAAGTTGGATCATTATCTGGGCTCCCCCAAGTTGCAGAGGTCTCGCTATTAACCCTCTTCAAAAATTTAATCAACAGCGAGAAAAGCCAGCGTCTACTATATGCTGTGTCACCAATCATGTCTAACTGCTTCAGATTATCATCGTAATCAGGTGGTGGAGATGGATTACGAGTAGACATTACTGTGAATAATCCTATAAAGTTAAGCAAACAGTTGTATCAACCAATATGATACTTCGGAGGCTATATTTACAAGTAGCGCATTACACGATCTCCCGCTAAAAAGCTGTACTCAAATAATTAAAATGGTTGTTAACAGAATAGAAGCTCTCACTTAACTGGCTTCAGCGTGTACGATCCGTGGATCACTACTCCCTAGGGTTATAACCTGTGTACACTTAAAGAGGGGAAAAAGTGTCGGTTATAATGTGAAAATTCAATTAGTTCTGGCCAGATCCCAGACATACGTCAAGTGGGTATCCATTCGGCTTTTAAAGGATTCAGACGAAGTAACCTGGATCACATCTTCAGGACGAGCGTTCGAGGGTTTAATAACTCTTAGAGAATAGAAGTTGTGCCTGACATCTAACCTGCTATGTTCCAGGCTTAATTTCTGTGCGTTGTAGAGCATTCGAAACCTCACTCATTCACCTTAGTTTCGATTTGTAGAGTGCCTCGCCTCTTCGTTGTCCAGCTCTATCGTCTGTCAGTTATCTTTTGCTACTAAGTGTAAGTGCATCCCGTGTACTTGCTGAGTCGTCAGTTCACCTCTCTTCTCTCCCTGTTTTCTTTTCCAGATTCTCCTGACTACTACGACACTCACACTACTCTGTGCGCCCCCCACAACAGCGTACCTACCTACAGGTTGGACGAAAACTTATCGACAACTGGTCGTTACAGCATGTCCTCTAAGATTAGTGCTGCAGCTAAGATTGAATAAGTGAAGGAGTGGGTGGCCAGGTGTATTGAGAATGTTGTCAGTCATTATCAAGTCCCCTTTTAGCCTCCAGTATTCCAGAGGGTACAGATCCGGTGCAACCAGTCGTTCTCCGTATATTTTCGACCTACGTTCTTGAACAGATTTTGTCGAACACCTCTGGATACCTTCTAAGCCTACTTTGACCTTCTGGAGAGAAGGGGCGAAGATGATGGTCCCGAACTCCAAGTGAGGCCATATGAAACTATTGAAGAGTTGGTGGAAGCATCTGCTATCTTATTGTCCGAAAATTCGTCCAAGAGTTACCAACGCCGAGTTTTCGCGAAGTACTTTTCTGTCACAGTTGGCATGGGATTTTAAGTTTTAAGGGACTAGAACGCCCAAATCTTTCTCTGTAAGTGACGCTTTGAGTTCCATGCCACTGAGGCTATATACATGAGATGCATCGTGTTTTACGTGTACCAACAACACTAATACCAGCAATATTAGTCTGGGTAGGAGAAACTTATAAATTTTAATCTCCTCCTAGATCTCGAGGCCATATGTATGACTGACCGTAGTGGAATACCTGCCGTCTGACTCATTTATAACTTCCTCTGAGTGTTAGCCTTCAACGCTATGATTGGTCAGCGTTGCCGTACCGGCGAAAAACAAAGGGCTCTATCCTCTAGCCCTTTTAACTGCCCTCTATTGTCCTTATATGCTATAGGCCTATCTGCAGAACCTTTGGCATTTGGAAAGTGGCAGAAAACTCTCCTATAGTTCCAGTGTTTTAACAGTGGAACTAGTGACAGAATCCCGTCAGCTTGTGAGGCATCCAGCTTCGCGAACTTGGAAGGTGGTGCAGGCTGCATTAAGGCATTCAAAAACGTATGTGAATTTTCTGGCTAGTAAACTAAGTTTTTGAAAGGTTCTTGACCGCCGATGAACAGAGGTGGGGACTGTAACGTAGAGGCTACATGCATGTGTAGCGGCAAATAACTTCCCCAGACCTATGGCCTAGGGTTAGACGACGTTGAAAATCGGTGATAAACTTCATTTTCTCAGCCGACTCAGGAAACTGAAGGGACAAGGACGCGAGCCTCTAATCATCTGCGCATCCGATAAACATTTCTGCCACTTCATCTAAGGCCACTAGCTCGCTGTGTTTACAGTGCTCATCTAACATACTCGCCCCGAAACACAGAACGACCTACTAATCAACTCTCCACCCCATGTTCACCCGACGTTCAGGGAGAAATGGGTGGCTAACCGGACCCCACCTTTTCGTTACTAATGCCACCTTCCACCCCGACCATTGAAGCTGAAAGTAATGGCAATTCATGTGGTATGGTGCCACTAGATCGCACTCAGAAGTGAGTTCCTGATATAATTCTGACCCTCCCCACCGATTTTGAAGCGTTTGTACGCTTCTGTTGTTCATGCTTATCGGCTATCCTTATGAAAGCCATGTTTGTTATGGGCAGACCACTAATACCAAGAACAATATTGCTTGTGTCCAGACCACCTGTTGTAATAATCATGGAACCGCGGCCTCATCTTAGCCTACCGGATGAAGAAATAAGTATCCACATGTACACACACTTTAGATGTGGCCGGGGTAGTAAGCAAAGGGGCTTCATGGACTTCCTGTATGCTTTTTCTTCATTCCGTCTGGAAAGTATGTTGACGGGAAAAAAGGAAAAATCCTTTTGGGTCATTGCTGACTGCAATGGTGCTACGGAGCCGGTTGGTTACAAACGCTGAACACCTGGAGTCTTCTGTACAGACGCATCCGCACTGAATCATACCGTGGAATTCGCGCCTTCCCTTCCATACGGATACAAAATTATACGTTAGGACTTCAACTCACCGGAGATTTAAAGGAGAAAGTGTGCAGGGTCTGTCAAGTATGACAATTTTCTCACCACACTGGACATTTTCGTGTGGAAACGGTTCATCGCCACCCCAACAGGTGATAATGTTCTTGACTTAGTGTCCGGCCAAAACGTTAGTTCTCTTCCAACCTGTGTGGGCTTAGGGCTCTCGCGAAGCGACCAAAAGACGGTATTGTGTGCCTTTCTGCTTCTTTCTACAATTTGCACGTCAGGCAATGCACTCACTTCCCTTCATATGGAGTGCAAGAACTAAGCTAAAGCTGACTGGGAACTGGTGTGCTCATCGACCAAGTGTAGTGACTGGGGGAATTGCATCATCGTGGCTGACCATAAGACAGAGATAGGTATACTTTACTGCCACTTACATGGCTGTCTTGATGTTACTGCTCTCCTTGACGAAAACGACCTGGCCCGCTTCAAACAAATCTTTTGTTCATCAGGTGACGTATCGAAAGCTGCATCAACTATTGACAAAATACCTTGTGTACCATCACTTTGTTACACTGCAGCCCCATTCTAGCACTGTTAATTCCATTACTCAGCACCAAGTGCTTGAGAAACAAGCCAAAATTATTGGGCTAGCTAGTTGCTTTAAAGTAAATGCACTCACACAACTTCTAGGGTAGCGAATGAATCTATAGAGCAGTGGCATTAACCTTCTCATCCATAGCAGCAGGGTTCGCAACAACCCACGAGAAATGTGTGAGTCGATCAGCAACATGTTTCCTTCCAGCTCCCTACAGCCAACAGACTTCTCTAATGGTACTAATTCAATGTTCGGCATCGACCCACCATCCTTTCACGCACTAAGAACTATTTGCCCCACTGTGTTCGCATGTGATAACATTAATCAAGGTACCAGAACGCACAACAACTACGGTAGCCTAGGCACCGGTGGGAGGAATATCCTCACATTTCTTCAGACTTGGTGGCCCTGAGATTTCAGGGTTGTTTCCTAAGCTGTCCCCCATTCCCTTAGAAGCTCCTCCACACCCCAGCTTGTGGAAGACCTGCTTCATCTCACCTAAACATGAGTCTAGTGCAAACAGTGAATTGAATAACTGCAGGTCAACAATTACCGCACCTGAGCAATTAGTCAGATAAAACGCTCTACAACTATGCTAAAAACAGCCTTCTTACTTCCAGTCAGCATAGGTTCTTGAAATCATGTTCAGGCGTCGCTAATCACTTCGGTTTTTCTGACTGCATGGCTACCGGCTGAGTACAAAGCTCAATAGTCCTGGTCCTCCATTTTAACACCTCTTTAGTATTTGACCGCGTTGGCCAATCTCTACCACTTGATGGGTTGAATCAGATCCTACCTAAGCAGCAGTGACAAGTTTAAAATAAAAAGCGTCCACAGGTATTTCACAATTGGCCGGCCTCGATACGAATATGGACAGGATCACATATCTAGATATCTGTCTTTCCAGTGGCAAGCATTTTGGATGAGACGATTAGAGATAAATATTGTTTTCCTTTTCAATACTCTGCGCGATATATACCGTTTTCGTCTGG